ACTCAACTTCAGGAGAGAGCAAGAGGTGAAATGCGAAGTTGAGTTTTTATTCTCACTCATTCATATGTGTACAGAGCGCGATATACTTATTTACGCTCTCACACACCGTACGTTACAATATATTGAGCATAGTAGCCGTAGTAACGTCTGGTCTCGAGCCATCGGCACATTTTTAAGAAGTGGGCACAATATTTTTTATACTGCCTGACCTGGTGACCTGAAATCACAAAATAATAAATTGTGTCAAAATTTTAACAAAAATTAAAATTAAAACAAATGATATACTTACCCACAGCTGCAATATGAAGAATCTGCAGAATGTTTACAAGAATCTGCAGAATGTTGGTCTTTAAAAATATTTTGTACTTTGTTAGATTGAAGTTTTTATATAGATTTGAAATTCAATAATTCAAATAAATTTGGAAACAAAGTGAATATTGAATTATTTAATTTTATGCCATAGGCTGTAATTATCTACTAATAGTGTATGAAATATCTTATTGTACTATACCTTGAGTGCCACCGGAGGCACCTGGGATAGCTGGGACTGCGGCATCTGGGATAGCTGGGACTGGGGTATCTGGGATAGCTGGGACTGGGGTATCTGGGATAGCTGGGACTGGGGCATCTGGGACTGGGGCATCTGGGATAGCTGGGAAACCTTTTGTTGTGTGAAAAATATAGATTAGATACTTTTTTCTAAAAGCGAAAATTAAAAATATAGTTAGAAATATACTTGGAGAAGCGACACAAACTCCGACGGTCAGAAGTGCAACGAATAATAAGAATTTCATTTTGATTTCGAATTTGACTGTTTCAACTGAATGATTCAAGTGAAATTGAAAATGTGATAACTTTCTCTTTGATTGCAGCGTCTTTTATACAAATTTTATCCAAAGCGAAAACCATAAGCAGATAGGGAATGATGTAGCTCAAAAGCAAACAAATGTGTTTCAAAATGAATAGCTGTCTCGAAATCCAATTAAACAATTTCGGAAATAGAATTTTGTCTGTACAAATAATCTGTGCTAATCAATGATTCAATTCGATTTTCTGCAATGGATTATTTGGATAAAAATCCAAATTGGTTTTTGTTTGTCTCCATGTCTGGAGGAGAGGCACAAAA